GAAAAGAAAAGAAAAGAAAAGAAAAGAAAAGAAAAGAAAAGAAAAGAAAAGAAAAGAAAAGAAAAGAAAAGAAAAGAAAAGAAAAGAAAAGAAAAGAAAAGAAAAAGGAGAGAAAAAAAAAAAGAAAAGGAAGAAAAAAAAAAAAAACCTGCGTCTTGTTCCTCACTCTCTCTCTTCCCCTCTCGCCCTCCCACCCTCTCAATGACAGAATCGGTACTCACTCACTCACTCACTCACTCACAAGCATATCACTTATCAAAATCATACCACTCTTCACAAGCAGTAAGAAGAAAAAAAAAAATAGGTATCTTGATTGCATCAGCTCAAATACGAGCGCCCTTTCCCCCCCCGAGCAGAGATACAGGCTGCGTCGCTCTCTCCATTTTAAATGGAAAGCGAAGTTATAAAAATCGTATCCTATCGTTGCATCCATAAACCAACCCACCCCATTCTTTCCGAAAATACAGAATTGCCTTGCCGGTTCTACGCCATCGTTGAATCGTAACCCACGTTCGCCGCCCAATATAAACTCCCCTCGTTCGTCTCAACATCTTGTTTCGATCTTCACCAGCCATCACCGTGTGGAAGGCTGTGCACCAGGTCCCTTGTGATCAGGACTCGGCAAATATGGGGCTGGACTCGCGAGTCTCGAGATGCCACGCGCCGGTCCTACCGAGCCTGCAACGCCTCGTGGTGCACCGAATCGTACCGGTTGAGCAGTACCAGGCCGGGAAATAGGTGGAGTGTCAAAGCATTCCATGTGAAGAGGGTGTTGTCCGAGGTCAGTCATATTGTGGTGCGGTTATTGCATGTTTCTGCCTGGGTAGTTGGGTGCACCAGGGGCAGGAGATGCGGTGCGATACGGCTGCTGCGGGTTGTGTCCCGGGTAACTGGGGGTTCCCGGACCAGGCGATGCGCTCCGACCGTCAGTCACGTTGTAATATGGTTGAGGCTGGCGGTTGGGGTAGTTCGGTGCTCCAGGCCCAGGGCTTGCGGTGCGATACGGCTGTTGCTGGTTGTTACCCGGGTAGCTAGGGGTTCCAGGACCAGGCGATGCGCTCCGCACGCTAGAATCGTAGGATTGGTATGGTGCGGAGTTGGGAGGGGCGAAGCCACCGAGAGAGTCCTGAGGTCCCTGGGAGCCGTGGATGGAACCTTGATCAAAGGGGGAGCGACGGCCCATGCTTGGTGCGGGACCTAAAGGTGTTTGGGATCTTAGATTATCGATTGCTCGTGGCAAGGGTCGGCCGTAGGCATCCATTCGTGGGCCGTTCCCCACGGCCGAGGTGTTCTCGTACGACACGGGACTAGCAGCGTATCCTCTAGCCCCCATCGCGCTGGGCATTCTTGGTGAACCGGGCGGACCACGATTCCAGTGGCTGGCATTCGAATTGGCTGTCATGCTTCGTTGTGGCGGTGCTGGGTATCCCGCGGCGTCCAAGGGAGGCAGCGAAGGCGCTGGTGAGCCAGACCGAGCGTAGCCCATATCGGAAGCATGGCTCATCAGTGGTGCGTTTGACCCAGATGATGAATGGGTGCCCATGCGTGAAGGAGTGGGTCGCATCTGGTCGAATCGACCCGCTGCCAAATCAGGGAACGGCGGCTGGCTGGCTGGAGTCCCGGGTCGGCTCGCGTAGACCGGAAGGGTGGTTGCGGTATCTTGTCGGTACAGGGTTGGCATCGCCGGAAAGCCGTCGCTGCTCTTGTGGTCCAAGAGGGTCGGCAGAGTCGCTTGGCGGCGGCCCATCTCTCCCTTCTTGGCGGCTTCGGCGTCCAGTTTCTGAAGTTTCCGATCTTCTTTTTCCAAAGCTTTGTTCACTTTGACACTGACGATGCTGGCCAATCGTCGGTTGACCTTGCGTTCGCAGTATCCAGAGAGCCCACCATCCGCATTCGGGATGTAGTGCCACAGGAAAAGAATGTAGAAGAGTGCCGACAAGAGGAGGCAGAGGGCTCCAAAGGCCCAAATGACCAGGGTAAAAAGCATGCCAGAGTAGACGACTGCTTGGAGGTGGTTCTCGTCGGCAAGCTTCTCCACGTTCTCAAAGAACTTGAGGATGGTTGAGCCGGCATTGCCAGCAGTCGAGTCGAAGGACTTGACGACGGCCCAGAGGGTCAAGGCGTTGAGGACTTGGCGAGGACCTTGGCAGAAGATGATTCGAATCCAAGCTTTTGCATGTTAGCACTCAGCAGATCGACAGCCGAGGAACGCCGAGCAAGTACTTACTCTGGAAGCTGAAGAAGGTGAACAAGGCCACATATTCCGCGCCCTTCTTGGACTTGGTCAATTCCGAGAAGACCAAGAAGCGTCTCCAGCCGCGTCCCTTGCCCAGTCGAATACACTGCAGCCGAACAGCCAGCGAGTCCAAATAGTTCTCGGCGACTGCGCCGCGCTTCATCACGTGCATCGCTCGCACGTGTTCGAAGCCCAGATTGACCCAGGACGCAATGATACATCCCGCGAAGACCCACTTTTGTACTTTGAAGTCGACGACGGGTTGGACGGAAGAGGACCATTTGTCGAAAGCGAGGAGATTGACGGCGGTGAAGGTGTCGACGCCATATACCGCCAGGGAGATGAGGAGACTCACCCAAAGATATCCGTAGGCGAGGAACTCGAAGCAAGACGTGGAATGGAAATCGTTGAGACTCTGCTCGGGGTTAGCAATGGCCGTGGTTCGTGGCCAGGGGCGCTTACGATAAAGTCCCATTTCTGCTCGGGCCTGATATCACCCGCCTTGACTCTGCCAGAACAGCCCATCGTGAAGGTCGTATTAAAATCGAAAAGAGATGGCTCTGCCGGTTTCGATGTGAGCACCAGGCTAGAATTGAAAGTGGTGAAAATTCAAGGAGAGAAACAGTCGATGCGTGCTGGGTCCGCTTTGGTAATATCGAATCAGTCGCACCGGTCGTTCTCCGCCTGCGAAGCAATCGACTGTGCGGATGGAGTGTAGGAGGTCGATCTCTCTCTCTCTCTCGAGGGTGGTTGAGGATTGTTTTCCAGAAGGGGCCGTTTATATTTTGGCGCTGGTGTTTGTGCGTCGGGGTTGGGCTCGAATAGCAACGGCTTGCTATTGTCGGCCTTGACTCTGCATGTTCCTGGGTGCGGAATATTACAATAGCAACTGCGGGCTATTGTTGACTCGGCGGCTGTCGTTGGGATTGTCTTGTCGTCCCGCAGCAGCGGTCGATATTATGAAGGTTCAGGCACAGCTGGATTCACTGGAAGCAATCCGTCCGGGGAATTGACGGGCGCATGCACCAACGATTGTATCTTTGGTCCTCCTTTTATCTACGGCCGGCGCGGTCACTGTCGCGCTGGTGATGCCGTCCGGGTCGTGGGGTTTAATCGCTGGAAATCAAAGGTCGCAAGAAGCGGCGCAGTACGTTGAGAGTCGAGGTGAAGGTGAGGTGGGCGGGGTGTAGCAGGAGGTCCAGCGAATAGACGAGTCGTGGGGGATTGATAGCCGGGACACTATACTCGATGCAATGCGCTCGCTCGACTGTACGGCGGGAGGAGGGTGGTGGCGATGGGGATGGGGATGAGGATGAAGTTGGTGATTAGGGCGAGATTTGAAGGACTTGGCTGAAGGGCGTCCGTCTGTCCAGTTTAGATCTCTTTATCTTTGCTGGCTGGATGAAGGAAAGGAAGGAATGGAAGGAATGGATGAGTGACTTGAATGAATGAACGTGTATGGGTGGGAGGGTTTAGTTGGCGTCTGTGTCTGTTCGGTGTCTGTTCCGTGTCAAAATGAGTGTAAGGGCGTGCGAGCGGGATTCCTCAAGCAAGCCGGTCGATACGATAGCGGTAGCGTAATGGTAGCGTAGCGGTAGTCGTACGTTAGTCGTAGTCGTAGTCGTAGTCGTAGTCGTAGTCGTAGTCGTAGTCGTAGTCGTAGTCGTAGTCGTAGTCGCTGCGAACGAAGGGCACACGACTTACCGGTACTGCGAGATGGCCGGAAGGCGGTTTGAGATCTCGCCTGCTGGTGGATGGTGCACGGTGGACGGTGGACGGTGGACGGTGGACGGTGGACGTGGGCCAAGCGGGGTGTCCGAATGAGAAGTGGGGCTCGGCATGGCGTCTGATTGATCGGACCCCTTGCAAGAGTGCAAAAGTGGTCTAGTCACAGTGGAGATAGTGGGTCCAGATGGCCGGTGCCTGAGCTTATCGGAATGTGAGCTAGCGTGGTCCTTCGCTCCTATCACCTGACCCGGACCCGCCCTTCCCCGTCTTCCTACAATAGCCGTTTCAGACTGGCAGCGGCATCCCCAAATAGTAGTTGTAATAGAAGGTAATAGGTATTGTATTACCTTTAGTACCCGGTAAGTCCACGAATGATAGACCGACTCCTGTCACGAGATGTCTCCCCCGCGCACGGCTGCGCGTCCCGAATCTACTACAGTACGGTACTACTACTAAAACTACTACTACTACTACTAATACTACTACTATTACCGGTACTATTACCGGTACTGAAACTACCTTGACCCTCCTCCAATACCAGCTGGTCCCTTGCTTTCCTTTTTCTTTTCAACTACCTACTACCTACTACCTACTACCTACTATACTACATTTGCGATCGCCACATGCATCCTGGCTGGGAGACTCGCATTTAGCATGGGCAGCGCTGCATGCCCATCTTTTTATGGCTCAGTATCTTTTTATGGCCGAGTTTCGAGTCTTGATAAGTATAGAGCCGTGTCGCCAAACCTAGGGGTCGTGGATGTCTCCGGCGCGGTACCTATTGGATGTCCATCATCTGTGCCCATAATGGTGCCCATATTGGTTGGCCTTGCTTTCCCGACGATTTTCTCCCTGGGCAACCCAAAGCCTATTCCGATATCAGGTGCGGTGCGAGCGGTGCGGTGCGGTGCGGTGCGGTGTGAAACCGTTTCGTCGATTCAGATCGGTGTCATTCCTCTGCCGCGGCTGAAATGCACGCAACGATTGATTCCAGATGAGGACTCGCAATAGCCGCACGCGTTCCACCTGCGGCTGAGCGACCAGAAATCGTTCGTGGGAGATGGATGCAGTTGCTGCTAACCGCCAGCCCGCCAGCAGCTGGGTCACTCTCAACATCCTCTCGCCTGAGGCCTCTCGCCTGAGACCTCTCGCCTGAGGCCTCTCTCCTTGTCGCGACCGACGACCACGACCGACCCAATACACGACCGCTTCATCCACAACAACACGCCGTCAAAATAAACAAACACGCGGCTACTCTCAAAAACCTGCACACATACATGCATTCGGGCCCGTCTCTCCCAGCCAGCCATTTCCACGGCCACCTCTCCACCACTCAGAACCCCCGGATTTCTCGCTTGCCAATCACATCCCCGTCCCCTTGGTCGCATTGAAACCCCCAAGCGAGGCCTCAACGACCATCGCATGTCACGTGCAGGCGTTGTTTACCATGTCGGAAGAGTCATCCACGCGATGTTGTTTGTTGACAGTGGGGAGGGCCGAGAAAGGGGTGCGGTATAAGATGGGTTTGTTTTGGCGCAAGTGCGTTGGCTCTATGACTTGGATCAACTTTGGAGATGTCCTGTCTGAAGTTCTTGTTCATATTCCTTTGAATAGTGCCTTTCGTCGATTCAAGACTCGCACGATATACTCGTCATTCTTATATACGAGTCGAGTGGCTCTGCACTAGGACGCCATCGCGATCTTGCATTGTTTACAGTCACGCGGTATCTCCCTCTCAGCTCTCCTCTCCTCTTCAAGCGAGCCCAAAGCCGCTGTAAGTGCTTCTTCCTCTTCTCTTCCTTTCCTTGGTCACAGAATACTCCTTGGTCACAGAATACCCTTCATCACAGAATACTCACACCCACAGAGAGAATGTCCTCAATTTCATCGGCGACTTCCGTCGACCGCACAAGCCCAGCACCCTCTACCGCGGCCACCTCAACATCCGCCTCCCCCACACTCTTCATATCGGCCAAAGACTTCGCATATCCGCCCACTCGCGCTACGTCTCCCACCACCCATCCGAAAGACCGCCTCACCACCCTCCCGCCGGAGCTCTTCCTTCAAGTCATCTCACACCTTCCATCCAGCTCCTCTCTCCTCCCCCTCTCCCAAATATCGACCTACTTCCAACAATTCATCCTCCTCACCCACGCATCCGCCATCTGCAACACGCTCATCACCACCCATCACTTCCACGCTTCCCAGATCCTCGGAGCGAAACTCGATGCGTCAGGCTGGCTCCTCCCAACGCACCCGTGCGTCCTCGACGCCGAGAAGCGGATCCTCCGAGACCAGGTCTTGCAGGCAGGCTGCACCTGCATTTCATGTCGCGACTTCATCCGCGCTTCCCGCTCCTCGGCTTCGAATCGAAAAAGCGTCGACGACGTCAAACGGTCATTCACCTGCCTGCCATCCACACCATCACGAGGACGAGCACCAACCCCAGCTTCAAAGCTCAAACGAGAGCCCGCCCGCGAATGCACATCTGAACACCTCTTCTCCTCCCCTTGGAAACTCACCATGCCCGGGCCACTGTTCCTCGTCTTCCTGCAGCGCCATGAATGGGAGATTGAAATCCGGCATGCGATGCTGCCGCGCGCCTCGGCGCCCTCCCGTCTCAAAGGAGGCGCAGAGGGAGAAGACGGAGAAGAGCAGCGGCGCTTTAACTTCTTCATCGGCCATTACTCCATCCGCCGCTTCCTCGCGGATGTAGAGCGTGAGTTCGCCTCCACGTCCACATCCCTTCCCTCCTCCACCCACAACGACAACGAGCCGAGCGCCAGCAAGCCCAGCTTCAGGACGAGGATCTCTCACGCGTGGCAAAAATCGCGTCTGGGTCTCGGGACCTCGACCGTCGGCAGATGCGAAGCTGACACGGCGCGCGCGAGATCAAAAAAAGAAAAACGGAAAGCGCAGACGGCGAAGACAGACGGCAGTACCACAAGACCCATGTTCGGCGAAATCACCCCCTCACCCGCCTCCCCGTCTTTCGCCTCCGCCTCCGCCTCCGCCTCAGCGCCCGGCGAGTGGATACGGGGACTGCTGTGGTTTTATGGCGTGCAGACGCCTCTGTCCTCGCCTCCTCCAGCCTCGGATACGTTCCCCTCTACCGTCTCTACCTCCCGGCTCGGTGGTGAGGCCGAGGCGGAGGAGCAGAAGACCGTGAAGAATCACAAGGGGAAGGAGAAAGAGGAGAGATTGCCAGGCCAGCTTAAACTCGAGAGCGCGACGAAAGCCCGGGCCCGGAGCTGCATGGCGGGCTTGAGGCACGGGGCGCAGGGAGCGGGGAGGAAGCTCCAGCAGCGAGCGGGGGCGTGGATTGGTTTACGCGGTGTATTTGCGAGGGGCGGCGGGCTGGCTGGGTGGCTGGCGAGGTGAGGTGAGGTGAGGTGAGGTAAGGTGAAGTGAAGTGAGGCGAAGTGAGGTGAGACAAGGTGAAGGTGAAGCAGAGTAAGAAAATAGTAATTGAATGTAGTTGTAGATCTTATTGTTAGCCTCACTACCAATTTCAATTAATCGAACTAAATGAACTTGGCCAATCGATCATTTGAAGCAAGGCTACCTTAGGGTACGGTAGTAGTACAAGCACGCTATCTTATCTAGGTAGACATCTCTCTATCATCATCTCCTCTCATCATTCATCTGCTCTCTCTCATCCAAGATCCCGCCTACCCTACCTACTGCTTCCTGCATCATGCTTCCTGCTTCCTGCTTCCTGCTTCTGAGATGGGGTAGGTACGGTACGGTACTTGTTTGCTGTCTGCGTGTGTAGATGATT